CTACATTTGTCCTCTGTATTTGCATCACAATCTGACTCTTGAAATCCTTTTTCAGATCGTCCATGTTCTCCATTTTGATCATTCCTGTTCCACCTCTATCAAAAGCTACGTTTTTTGAACTTATCAACATATTCCGATAAAACGTTAATGTGTTCGATTAAAGCTATTTTTACTATTGTTCTGTCGACACTACACTTCACTATCTCCTTATATTACCTATTTTCCTTCCCATTTTTTACTTTGTCTATTTCTTTTTTTATTTTTCTGCATTCCACTATTTTTGCTACTTTAGCTACTATAATTTTTAGCACTTAATTTTTTCTACCGCTAGCCTACACAGTCGGTTTGTCCTTGGGACCCTGAGACCGCTAGCCCAAATGATCTATCACACCAACTCCATAAAGTATCCAGCCTCAACGACTCATCAGGCCAACACCGTCAGCTCCGCCACCGTCGTCATAGCGTAATAAATCAAGTATCTGAATTATGTGACTCTCTGTGTCCTCATCAGAGCGATGGCGAAGAGGCAGTGGGTTTTTCAGTAGAAAGAGGGGTGGATGATAAAAGTGTTCCCAGACGACCAGCATTCTCAATTAATTCTCATTCAGACCAGCAGTCTTCCCTTGGACCTGGAAGGCCTTCTTGCGGACCTTCGCATCCCTGTAAGCCGCATACGACTCAAATGGGTGTACCACACGCACAATCGTGCTCCCAACATCCGCCACAGCTACAGCTGAAGCAATATTTGCTGGATGATGCGTCACAAACCCGGTCACATTCTTTTCCACGAGTTCCACACCAACACTCTCTTAGCCATTCCCAGCCTCATCATATGGTACAGGAGCAGGATCATAACCACACTCACGTGCCACAACATCGCTCTGATGGCCCTATGGCTTCATCCTATCCTGGCTCCGATTTTCACTTGCACATTGAATCTACAGAGGGAGGCATCTCGTCGGAAAGGCAAGATTTTTCATTGACCAGCTTCTCCGGTGCTACTAATTTGCCTTCTGTATCAACGTCTGTCTCGTCTCCGCCCCTAACCACTGGAGGAATATCAGTTAAATCGGCTTCCGGGTATCTATCTAACACGAATTCTGCTCAGAGCCTTGGCTTCTATGAGGCCAAACCGAACTCAAGCATCGGTCTTCGTGGCTTCCATATCGTACCAGAAGACTTCTGTGAGACAGGTAGGTCTTTAATATACAATATGGGAATTATATGTCATTTGGGGTGCATAGCACTTTATATCATAATGCAAAATCGACTATTTTCTTAAATTTGTTTTATTTATAATCAACATCAAATGATATGTCAATTCAACTAATATTTTATCCTATCTCATCTTCATTCATCTCATCATGTCCCCACCACAGAATGACTTGACTCATATTCTTACAAATTCATCATTTTGATCGGCAAACTTCGATCGTTTAAGTTAGATGACGACCTTCCCTTTCATTATTTTTAAGAATTTATCCTCTATATGTTCGGTATTTAGCATGATAACTAAGAATCTAGTAATTTGGGCCACAAATAGGGTATACTATGCTATTTACTTTTCCTTAGCTCTTCCTTTCAAAAGACTTATCCAGGCTGGGTTTCTGTCACGGCCTTGCTAATGTTCCAACAGCACATACTAATCAAAGAATTTATATTCTCTGTAATAAACCCTCTAAGTTTCACCTGTTTATTCACCTCTTCATTATGCATGCACACTACCAGCCTCCGATTCTGACCTGTCTCAACCAGCCTATTCGCATCCTACTCGTCAGCAGCAAAGTACTGCCCCAACTCTTCCAATGCAAGTACCTCCACCGTCTTCATCTGCTGTTCGGCCCTCTCAGAGTAAGTCTCTACATCCTAGACAGCATCATCATCACCCTCAGCAACAGCAATCTGGGGGATCCCATTCATCTAACAGCTCAACAACCTCCAGTGGCGGCAGTAATGGTTCCGGAGTTCTGGGTCACCTCCTTGGTACAACCACCTCACAATTATCTTCCTCCGCCGGCAGGCTTCAGTCCAATAATAATGGCCATTCCGCAGGCTACATTATGTCCAGTTGCAACTCTACAAGTAGTGGCCTGGGCGAAGGCAGCAACGGGGTCGGCGAAATCACCGTATCTGGCCACGGGTCCTGTAGAGACGGTACAACTGGCTGTTCTAATGTGAGCGGCACTGGCGGTGCTGGGCGTCAATTTCTTTGCGGCTTTCCTGAAGACACAAGTCGGAAACGAGAGCAACGACTACTCAAGAATCGGTTTGTTAAGCTTCCATTATGTTGTACTCCCTTTTATTATTCATTTCGATATATTATTTTATTTCCTCTTTAATTATTACATTAATTTTTAATTCACTTCTTTGTTTAAACTTGACTTTGCTGCTTATTTACAC